CAAAAAAAAAAAAAAAAAAAAAAAAAAAGAAAAGAAAAGTGATAATGCTGGAAATGAAATTCAGATCAAATGTAGATGGGGTTACAGAAGAGATAGCTGACTGTGGGTAGGCTAACGCTGCCACTGTTCAACAGACTCTAGATATGCAGTGACAGCGAATTTATTGACATGAGAAGGATGGTTGTGATGAAAAGGATGAAGATGTCCCAGAGGAAGTGACAGTGATACAAAGATTCATATTAATGGAATTTTTGGAGATATTTCATGATATGAAAAGTACAAAGGTTAAAACGTTGGAAACTTATCTAAACTTAGAAAGGAATGTGACAATTTGCCAAGGCGTATAAAAGATTCTCACTCTGTGTTGTGAGAAGTAGACAAAACACTGTTCAAACTATTCTTGATAGGTTTATTACAAAGAAATAAAACTTTAATTTTCCGTGGTTTAAATTACAGGATACTAAATACAGATTAGTTTTACTATTTTTTTCATTTCCCTATATATTTATAATTGGCAGTAAGAGAGTTTTTATTGCTTTTGATAGATCCTTCAGAATTACTCTTCCATAAGTTTGTGTTAGTTTACGCCACCATTAAAGGCTTCGGAGAATCCATTAGTACTCTTAGGACATTGTTCTATTTGCCATTCTTTACTTATTTGTTCAAGCTCTTCTTCTGATGGCTCTTTATTTTAATGGAAATATATACATTTAGGTTTTTGATTTCCTAAAAAACAAACCTGACCTAGACCCTGTTGTATTTTAGACCCACTGTACTTTCACTCTTTTTTCCTTTACCTTCGTTTTCGTTTGAAATGAGTTAGACCTGCTTCCTCAGTTTATTTGCCATTCACTTCCTCTTTTGTTCTGCAGTCCCTTGACAGTAGGCATGCTGAGGACAGAGGTCATGTCTCTTTTATTACTGAGTACCCAGTACCTAAACTACAGATCAGCATACAGTCAATACTCAGTATGTTTTATTGGAGGGAATGAGTTCAGAAAACATAAAAAAGCCTCTGCCCACCACCCACCCTGTCCCATTCACCCATCCCTCCTGTCTTTAGTATCTCTTCATCTTGGCTTTTGGGAAATGCCACGCCACCTTTCCATACTGTGCCCATTCCCCTTTTTCATATTCTTGGTTCCAGCCAAAGTAGGCTGCTCATCATTCATCTGCCACCTCCCATATGCCTTCCTTCCTGCAGGCCTTTCCTTATACTGGCTTTTCTCTGCTCTGCCCTCTCTTCCCTTTCATCAGCTCTGCCTGGCAATATCATGCCATCATTTCCCCTCTTCAGAGTCCAGCCCAGAGGCTTCCTGTATGAAGTCTCTTCTGATCTCTTTCTCACCGGCCACGCCAGCCTTTCTTCTTTAAACAGCTGTAGAACTCTGCAACTAGAGTCTACCAAATATGAGCCATTTGTGCTGTTGCTTTTGCCCTTTCCCAAAAAGTAGAAGCTCCCTGGGGCGTCTCTTATTCTTTCCTTCAATGCATAATATAGTCTTTACACATAGTTGGTGCTCAATGCATATTTTATTGAATTGTCCTGAAATGTGACATTCCACAGAGCTGCCAAGGGAACTCCATTCCACTGAAAAATACTGAGGACTATTTTGTAGATTATTCTGCTTTTTTTTTTTCTAACTCACAAATAAACTTCTGTCATTGTTCTTGGGAGTTATATGGTGTAATCACTTACACCATATTAACCAGATGATCTAGTTAAAGTCAAATGTCAAAGTCCAGAAGAGTGGAGAATGAGAAAGTTGCAAAATGTTAGAGCTGGAAAGATTTTTAGGGATCCAAGGAGTCCAGCCCTTTAATTTTATAAGTGAGTAAATTGATGTCTGGAATGTTAAAGTGACCTGCTCCAAATCTCTACACAACCAGTTTGTGGTAACATTTGGGTCCGGGCTGTAGTCATCCATCCCTGTCTGTTGCTCATTCCCACAAGCTGTCACAGTGAATATGAGAATAGTGTGTAGGCCTGTGTAATTAAACTGTTAAAAGAGGCATCTGATATTCTCATATTGCCTTTTATGGATTAACAAGTAGAAAATTGTTAGGTTTTCTTTTCTCCCTACCTTAATTATTATAAGTTTTTGGACTGGATTCATTTACATCAACTGGGAAATTTCTGGCAACATTAACCTAGGAAGGCATAGATTTGTTTGCTAATATTTAAGTAAACTTTTTATTGAAGTATGACGTACATACAGAAAAGTACCTGAAGCAAAAATGTGCATTTTGAATTTTTCCAAGGTGCACACATCATGTGACCAGCACCAGATCAGGAAACAGAGCAGCACCAACAAGTTTAGAAGTATTTAAAGAAATAAAACATTTGAAGAAATAAAAGGGCTTGGAAACTACATCATTTTTTTTTTTTTCTCTCCACAGGTATTGTCAGTCTGTGTGTTAACGACAATCCTTGGTTGTATCTTTGGGTTGAAACCAAGCTGTGCCAAAGAAGGTAATTAGTACAGTAATTTGTGTGTATGTGTGTGTGTGTGTGTAGGGGTACTAGTCAGCCTTTTTCAGAATGTGATTGAGATAAGCGTTATGTCCTAATCCCTTGAGTACTCCATAGATAGTGCAAATTTGATGCTGGTTTGAGCCTTTTTCTTGAAGCTCTTTTATTATTTTAGCCATGTGCTATTTTATTTACTTGCAGAACTTCATCTCAAAATGATGAAGAGGGGCTATGACCAAAAAACCAACCAACCAACCAATCAAACAGAAAAACCTCAAAACAGCAAAAAATAAAGAACAAAGACACAAACAAGCAGCTGGCTGACAGGTTCTGGTGCTGTGCTCCTGGAGCCTGTCTCCCTGACTTCCTCCAGTGACTCCCAAACACTTTTTCTCCCTAAGGAGTTAGCCCTGGAAGTTACTAGGTAACCAGTTAGCATCCCTGGGCAACCAGAAACTTATCCTTACATGCTTTTAAGTCTTTTAAAATTGCAGACATTTCAAAGCAACAGTGATATTTTTAAGCTTATATATATATATATACACATATACATATACATATATATATTATTGAGTGCAGAAATCTAGCCAACACTGACAAGATTACTATGAATAATAAAACTATGAATCACAGTATACTGTAGCAGTCATTATTTTGGCTCTGAGGTAGTTTTTATTTTTTCCCTGTTAAAATCACTGATGGTCTTCCTAGGGAATTTGGTTTTGAAAATTGAACAAATCCATCTGTACAACTATTCTGTAATTGTAATATTAGTCATTTAAAAAATTTTAGTGATTGTTAAGCTGTCATTTATTGTTGAAATGAATGAAATGTAATTTTATATATTTAGTCAGCAACTATTCAGAGCAAACTGTCAATGTTTAATACAATTAAAAAGCTATAGACTTTAGTGTTCACCTGTGTAGCCTTTAGACACAAAGTAATTCCCCTTGAGTTCAGTTTGGCATGTAAAAATAAAACCGAATGATTGAAAACAGTAATTTTAATCTAAACTCAACATGGAATGCATATTGTTTTTTAAATGACTAGGGACATATTAGTGAGCTCCAAGTAATAGCTATTATTATAATAGCTTTTCCCCCTTGGGTCAGGAAAGTTAATATTTTTGACCCTAGAAATTATTATTGTCATTTCATGTCCTTAAAATTGCCTAGTTTCCCGGTGTTAAATGAGAGTTAAACTCTGTGGCAGTGTCTTCTTGGGTCAGGAGACCATTGCAGTCAAGAGCTAGGATTATTCATTTTTTTCTTTTGGACTTCCACTATTTTATAAGTGGATTTTTTTTCTTACCACCCTGATTTTCTAGTAATCCAATAAAAACCTAGCTTATTCTAGGTAACTAGTAAAGAGTTACAATGTGAAATTGTTTTTAATGAAAAGTATTTTCCTTCCATATCTGCCATTTGTCCATTTAACAAAAACTTATTAGTACCAGCTATAGTCAAGGCTCTTGCTAGGCACCAGGGATACAGTGTACTGGGTAACTTCCAGATGTGGTCTTTGTTCTTGAGAAGTTTGTGCTCTAGGGTGAGACTGGGATATTAACCAAATGATCTAGTTACAAATGGAAGTAGGTGACTGAGATGAAGGGTAAGGTTTTATACAAACTTAAGAAAAGGAAAAAGGACCTAGACTGGGAGTTTGGGAAAGTTTCTCAAAGGGAGCAGGCTGGATCTGAAGGTGCAATGGATGTTTTAGGTGATGGTGGGAGATGGGTTCCGCAGAACATGTTCTGTACAAACACATTACTTCTCCTTTACACCAGACTGAGAATGATGTAAGTCAGGTATTCTCTGTCTTTCTGAAATATTCATAGATTATCACTTTTCAGAGAACTCTGCATAAAATCTTCAGAACAAGCTCTTCTTATTTTTCTTTTCTTTATTATTCAAAAGTATTTAAGTTTTATTACCCCCAGTAGGGTTTATAACATATAAAAGAAAAAAGTCATCTTTTTTTCCTATGGCAAGAGATAAAATTGCAAAACTCTATAAGGTTACTGCCTTCTGTTTGTGTCACTTTCTACATGTATTTGTGAAAAGATTCTTGGTTAACTTTATTGCCCACCCCGTCTGTGTTTTCGAAAACAATATTTGAACCTGACTATAACTAACTTAGGTGTATTAATTGATGTTTGCTTTGTAATTATATAATGATTAGAAACATCTAACTCCTTCAATATTTTCAGTTAAAAGTTGCAAAGGTCGCTGTTTTGAGAGAACGTTTGGGAACTGTCGCTGTGATGTTGCCTGTGTTGACCTTGGAAACTGCTGTCTAGATTACCAGGAGACATGTATAGAACCAGGTAAAAATATGCAGGGGAAAAGATGGAGTCATGGGCCTTGGTAAAAGAGCAAAGAAAAGTTCTGCATCTTTTAGGTATGTGATTTACCTGACCCATTTGAGATTTTTCAAAATTTGGCCTTTATATTTTCTGAGAGAAAAAATTTACATATTTTGCCTTGGTAAAAGTTTTATGGATAATAAAACTGCCTGTTTTTAATGTATGCTGACAGCCTATGTAGTCTAATTTGCATTTCACCTAAGTTCAAAAAGGCTGCTTAAAATATATGAATATTTCTATGGGCTTATTAAAGCAAGAGTTCTTAAGATGTCTACTTAAACTTCAAAGTAAAACCATCAGACTATGGAAGTTTTCTGTTTGATTTGGTCTTCTCTACATATGACATGGAATAACATTTAAATGGGAGTGAGCCAGGTTTAGATTAAATTTTGAGAACTCTGACAATGACTGGTGGAAGAAGCCAGGATGGACATGGGAGTTGTATAATAAGAATTATGCTTGTTTACATTTTAAAATGATGAGATTCTGGCTTTTTAGTGAATAATAATTACTGCCTGCATATTTTCTCTTAGTTCAGATTGACCACTGTGGTGGCAGCTTCTGTGACTGACTAAGGGTTAGAAAATGGTCCATTGTCTCTTCATGGACCATGTTCTAGAGACATTTCTGTATTCACTTTGGACATGTTGAATTTGGACCATGAAATGTATTATGTTGATATTTGTTTCTAGAACGGATATGGACTTGCAGCAAATTCAGGTGTGGTGAGAAAAGGTTGTCCCGAAGCCTCTGCTCCTGTTCGGATGACTGCAAGGACAAGGGTGACTGCTGCATCAACCATGGCTCCATGTGCCGAGGTCAGGAGGTCATGCCCTCGCCGGGTTCAGATGCAGGCTTACATCTTCCTAGGTCCTAGCGGGGTTTAGCACAGATGTATTTTTTACATTAGAAGTCATAGTTATTGACCCACCATATTAGCTGAAAAAATATTTTAAAAACATTGTATTAAGGAAAATTTCAAACATATATACCTGAATAGAGAGAATATGGGATGAAGCTTGCATCACCCAGCTTAATAATTACCATTATCTAACATGGCCAATGTTGTTTTATCTGTAGTCACTCACTCTTCTGCTACAACCCCCTCATGTTATTTTGATATTAGCTGCATATTTAACACTGTACTTGTGGAAAGATCACTTTTGCGGTCCTGGCTGACTATATAACAGGTTCCTTTATAGTAAGTGAGGACGATGTCTGCTGTGCATTGAGAGAGTGGATGTGAAGTTAGGGCATAAGATTCTGTGTAAACTGATGTTATGATGATGTCTCGTCTAGGTGTTACAGGGTTCCTTGAAATTCTTTGACAGAACCTGGCTCTGTATGAGAGGAACTAAGACATCAAGGATTTAATACCAGATTTTGTTGGGTGGATAGAAGGAGGGTTGTAAATTTTGGCTGAAAATATTAACAATTTGAAAATGGAAAAGGTGCCTTCAAGTTCTCCCAAATACAGTAGTATGTTTTAGTCTTGCAATTTTACATTCATTTTTTAATTCCTGATATCAGCTAACTTTTATTTTGAAACAGAATAACTCCCTTTATTTGTTTTGTTTCCCTAGAATCACGTCCCATATTATCTATGTATCTGTTAACATATTTTGTTTTTGGAATCTGTCCTAATGTGTCTCACAGGCATCAAAATCATTGTTTCTATTGAGTGTGTTTAACTCATTGTACTTCTTGAAAATGTTTTAGGTGAGAAAAGTTGGGCAGAAGAAACATGTGAGAGCATTAATGATCCACAGTGTCCAGCAGGGTAAGATTATATTCTGAGATACTAATTTTTTTTAGGAGTACCATTTTTTTCTCTTTCCAAATAAAAATAATAATTATTCATTGGTTCAGTAAATATTATTTTTAGTTAAGCCTTCTTTTGGCACTGGCGGTATAGAGATGATTATGGCATGACTCCCCACTCTGGAAGCTAGTGGAAAAAAGAGAGGTCATAAATATTTAGTATTCATGAGTGTTGGGTGAAAGTATTTGTGGTTTCCTTCTTAGGAAGGAAGGATCTTTACATTCATTTGAAGTTTTTCAAGTTGAACTTATAGCAAATTACAGCTTCTTTTTATTTTTTTTTTTGTGTTTTGGTTCATTTATATATTTTTGGGATAACATGCCCGTGAGAAGATGTTACATAATTTTTATAATTTATACTTGTTACTTTTGTATTTAGAGTATTTTTACAATACCTTATGTTTACAAGGTCATCAAAAAAAATTTGTGTGGAATTCAGAAGGTGGAAATTTGGTGACAGTATTAAACATAATTATCTTTGCTCCACTTGAACAAAGATATATGAATTCAAATTCATATAATTTGAATTATTAATCTTCAGAAATATATTTTTATGTCTTTAAAATAATGATTTTTCCAGACTGTTAAACATTTTAAAGCTGTATTTTAGCTTACTTATGTATATAATTTATGTTTGTTTTTTAAATATGTATTTTTGTTTTCTGTTGGATGGAAGAGTTCTTTTCTGTTTAAAACAACAGTAATAACAGCAGCAAAAACTAAACCCAAAAAATTCCAACAGAAGAGATTTTTTCAAAGAGGACTTCTCATATATCCTAAGATGTCTGTTAAGTCCAAGGTATATTGGAAGTTTTACACTTAATGAATTTTGAATCTTCCTTTTCCTTCTAAACATTGACTATTATTTTCCAATTGTAATGTTGACTCTGTTAGTGGAAAATATAAGTCCTTCTTTCTTTACAAGAAGACCGTAATTTAGGACACATTTTATTATACGGGAAATTATTATACCCGTATATTTACCTGGAGGCCCAGCAAACTGTTTTTATGTTTTCTGTTGATTGACTAGAAATAATTTTATACAGACATGGACCATTGAGACTATATGCAGCTGATTCTGCAGAGTCTCCCAACAGAACTATGGTACAAATACTAGTTAGTGGAAATTATACACAAATTTCCTCCTTTTTCCATTTGTGTTTGGGTATGACAGTAAGCTGGGGAGGCAGTAGAGTTGGAAAAGGCAAGGTAAGGTAAATCTTTGTGCTCAGATTTTTAAATTACTGAGTAAACTTTCAGTGGAAAGTTTTTTCATGGTTATCCAATGATATACGACTTTCCTACTGTCTATCAGATGTTATTAGAAGCTGCAAAATTTCTGAACCATGCCTATTTTGGTGTAGCCATGGAATGGTTGTCCATAGATATTCTCTTTTGTTGCGAATATCATTATACATTTTTTTTTTGCTTCCCTCTTTGGTTTTCTATTCCTCACATGGATATATGTGTGTGTGTGTGTGTGTGTGTGTGTGTGTGTGTGTGTGTACCTTCATTGTTTGTTCATTTCTAGCTTTGGATCATTTCTTTGTTGCTTATATATTTAAATGTAGTAAATACCTCACCAACTTCTCTATTAATGTCTTTTAAATATGGTAAACTTAAAAGCTAAATATTGTATATAATTTATGTGATATGAGATACTATCTATTAGTTTCAAGTAGAGACAATATCAGAAAATGCTTTTACAGAAAAAAAATAGCGGAAACAAGAAACATAATTTAGAACATGCTACTTGTTAACATTTATTCTCTTGCAAATTGGGAAAATATTATTACATTTTAGTTGCTTTTGGTCTAGCTTTTGGAATAGCAGGAATCATAAATGATCAGCTCAAAATGGTATGAGTGCTTAATCAGTACTATTTGATGATATATATAATAAAATATAAAAGCATATATGTGAATATAGATGCTTATAAAATATTCTTTATGAGGATGTTTGTTGAGCTTGTTAGTTTACCTAAGATTACATACCAACCTCAGTGGAAAATCTTCACTGGATCTGTGTCTTCTTTCTTCTTCTTCAAACAATTTTTTTTCTTTCTTTCTCATTATCCAGGTTTGAAATGCCTCCTACCCTCTTATTTTCTTTGGATGGTTTCAGGGCAGAATATTTACACACTTGGGGTGGACTTCTTCCTGTTATTAGCAAGCTGAGTGAGTAACTTCAGAGTTTACTATTGGAGTGCCACAGTTTCAGTGAGATAGACTAAGGAAGGAGTCTTTTTTTCGAAAAATACTGGCAGAATCTGTTTTACTAAATTCCTCTATTGCAAAAGAGTTAAACCTAATGATAAGGAACTAGTGTTTAATATTGTAATTGTTCTGAAACTGCCTTTTAAATAATTCTGAGATAATAGTAGTTATTTTAGGATTTTTATCCCTTGGTGATAGATGTAGATATAAGGATGAGATAAGATATACTTTTTTTTTTTAGACTTTTGGATTCCTTTTATGGACAAATTATTTATATATTGATCTAATATGTATTATATCTTAAAATAGCATTTCAAAAACTGAAGGTATTTCTGCTATGTTTCTAGTAGGGTAGATATAGAATATTTGTTATTTATCTTATAGTATCATGTAGCATCCTTCCAACTTCTTTATCTCAATAAAGCCTTAATTGAATGATTATTGTATAAGTTACTAATGCAATAGTAGAATTGTCTTTTCTTAGTATTAATGCCAAAGTTTTAAATCACATTAACCACCAGTAATATGGGCATCACTTGTATCATCGTTACTGAAAAAAGAAAAAATTAAATATGGGTATAAAAACTGTAGAACATTGCTTGTTATCAGTGATCAGTATTTAAGTAGCCACAGTGTAATGCTGGACTGAACTAGAAGTAAGTAAATACACTGTTTTGGTGTTCTTCTGGAGTTCTGAAACATTATTTACTAGACTTGAGTATATGAGGTTGGTTTAAACATCAAAGTCACTCTCAGTAAATACATAGATACGTTTATTGTACTTCTTTTGTGACAAGCCAAAATAATATTTGGAGAACTTTAAAAAATTTCAGTTTCTAATTTCTCCTGGGAAGAAAATAGTTGTTATAAATAATCATTTGACCTAAAAAAGTCTTTAGCAGAGAGTTTGCATGGGCAAGGAAGGCTCTGTTCTTACCAGCCAGGCTCATGAGCTTTGAGGTTTGAATATGGCCCTTTGTTATCATCAGCAGGAAAGTTTGTTTCCATAGCACCAAATATGAGTTCAGAACCTGAGTTCAGAAGTAAGGAGCTGTAGGTACCTATATATGAAGTTGAAAGGAATTCAATACACAGTTAGACTAAGTACTCTCTTTGGGTAATTGGGGAATGTAGCTTGTAATGCTGAACTATTTGGAAGGCAGTGAGATAGATAGACACATGCCAATCTGAGGAATATTTTCAGGCAATGGGGTATTGATATGCTAGAATCATTAGTTATGTATTCCCTCTTCAATGGTAGAGGCAGAAGACGAATGTGACACTAGGGCTAAATCAGCAACAGTTTGACTTCCGTCCTTTCTTGTACTTGAAGCCAGAAGATGCTTTTTATCTTTAGAGCAGTGTTGAACTTGTCTAGAGTTAGCTAGATTGGATTTTTGGGGTGGGACACTGGCATCCCAGCTACTGCTTCATTCTTGTTTTAATTTTGCAGATTTAGCTACTAGTGCGGTTTTTTGTTGTTAAAATATAACTACATCCTATAATTTAGTATGTTACCACCAAGTAGTAGCAGACAAAGATCTAGCAAGAATCATTATGGTCCATCTGGAACTTAATGTTATTGATAAGTATGGGATAATTATTTCATTGGCTTAACTATTTTGTTTAATGATTTTCTAAGTAAGAGAAAAACTAACTCTTAACCTTGAATTTGAATCCAAAATGTTGCTTTGTAATTCACCCTGAATTTTTATATGGTTGTAAGTCCCTTCTGGGTTCACTTTTTTAGTACTATTTAGAAGTCTGTGGTACCAAAGCTAAATGAGGGAAACAGATTGTTAGTTGTATTTAATAACAATATTTAATTTTTTTCCCTTGTAGAAACCTGTGGAACATATGCTAAAAACATGAGACCAGTATATCCAACAAAAACTTTCCCCAATCACTACAGCATTGTCACAGTAAGCTCTGCATTTCAACTTTTATATGTTCACAGAAGTGAGATGTAAATGTAACATTTTTCAAGAGAATAAGTAGATTTCAGATCAGAAAAAAATAACTTCTTCTTCATTGTGTAGTTAAGCAAGGAAACCTAGGTTCTGGTCTTAGCTTTTCTACTAAGTAGTTGTGGCCTTGGGCAGGTCACTTTACGTTCTGGGTCTCCATTTCCCATCTGTGAAAAGAGGTGACTAAAGACTCCAAGAAATGATTTCTTGGTTCCCTTTCAATTTAAGAGTCTCTGATTCTTGGGTCCTGTTTTTTCTGATTAGTTTTTATCTTACTTTATTTGAGCCCCAGACTGTCTGCACTCACATATTCTCAGCTCTTTCCAGTCATCTTGATGTATGAGTTCTAAGCAAGCCACTTTGCCTGACTTTAGGTAGGATTACAGCTCTATTTTTGTTTCACTCAAAGTTTGGAGATTTAATTTGAATCCAGAAAAAAAAAGTAGAATTCATTAGGCCTTAGGGTTGAAGCCAGAGAATTAATACTTTAGCTTGTGTTGGTACAAGCTATTCTTGGACCCAACCAAAAAGGAGTTTGTTCTGAAGAAATGTTTCACTGGTCAATGCAAAAGGACAACACAGTACTTTTTTCAAAATTAGGCTGCTTCTTTATATAGAACTTCATCCATATCATTCCTAATTTATTTTGTCCTATTACATAAATTAAAACACAAATACTCCATAACATCTAGAGTGGTTGGTTGTGTTTTAACAATACCCATTGTTTTGTTCTTCTCTCCTTAAGCTGGGTTGAGTTCTGTGTAGCTTAAGTTGTCTATTTCTCTTTGATGATTTTGTTCTGCAACTTTAAAAACTTAAAACTTGCATAAAACTTCTATTTTATATTTTTTAGGGACTTTATCCAGAATCCCATGGCCTCATTGACAATAAAATGTATGATCCCCAAAGGAATGCTTACTTTGCACTTAAAAGTAAAGAGAAATTTAATCCTGAGTGGTACAAAGGAGAACCAGTGAGTTGTTTGTTTTATCTGTTAAAATTATTTTTATTATTCTCATCTGTTTCTATCAGAGTAAAATACCAGATTCCTTGGCGCTTTGAATAACTCATTTAATTTACTATGTTTTATGCCATCCTTATGCAAACAGAGATGAATTCAGGTAACTCTAAATATAGCTTGTATCATTATTCCAGAGTGGGGTTTGGGTTATGCTGAGCCAGTTCTCTTTTCTGCTTGATTTTACCTTTTTGTCCTAGTAGCGAAGAGCAGTAGTCTGGGGGTAATATTTTGATCTACACAAAGCTGTTTCTACAGGTGTAAACTTTGACTTTGTTTCCATTTGCTAACATAGAAATTCTCTCTGATTGTGATTTAGATGTGTTTTCCTTCTGAGTTTTTATAAATTGCCATGACAATTCTATAAGGTCTATTTGGATAGTCTTGATATTCCTCTTGGAAGGAGAAGTGCATTTGCAAGTTATAAATTCAAATTTTAGCTCTGACATTTAAAGCTGTGTGACTTTGGGTAAATTATTCTTTCTGTGCCTCAATTTTCTCATATCTGTACTGTAAATACTGTTAACTACCTCATAGAGTTATTGTGATGATTAGTTGAATTAATAATCTAGGATGCTATTAGTTGGATTAATTAGTTGATTAGTTGAATTAATAATCTAGAATACTATTTAGAACTGTAATTGGCAATAATAAGTGCTTAATAAATGTTAGTTACATAAGCAAAAATGTCAATAAGTTAAAGATATGTATGTTTGTAAATTTTTCTTTTCTTTTTCCTTTCATGAATTTTTCTTCTTTTAAGAAGGAACCTATTCTAGTGGGAAGCAGCCGCATAGCACAGGGAGATCAGCTTGGTGCTTTGTGACTGCCTGGAGGGGTGGGATAGGGAGGGTGGGAGGGAGGGAGATGCAAGAGGGAAGAGGTATGGGAACATATGTATATGTACAACTGATTCACTTTGTTATAAAGCAGAAACTAACACACCATTGTAAAGCAATTATACCCCAGTAAAGATGTTAAAAAAAAAAAAAAAGAAGGAACCTATTAAGTAGAAGTATGACTATAAAAGTTTCGGGAGTTATCAACCGTTCATATTTTTTAGGTTAATTTAATTTCTGATTATTTAATATCTCTTTGCTGCTGTTCAAAGTCAGATTACATTGTTATTTTGTAGTCTAACTGCTGGAGCTTATTAACGTCAAAAACATTCTAGCATTTGGGAGGAAAGCATTGGGGTTGCGTGAACAGATGGTTTCCTAAGAAATGAATGCTTGCATAATTTCCTAACTTTCCTTCACTGGCTTCCCCAGATTTGGCTTACAGCTAAATATCAAGGCCTGAAGACGGGCACATTTTTTTGGCCAGGATCAGATGTGAAAATTAATGGAATTTTCCCAGACATCTATAAGATGTATAATGGGTATGTATAGCTGTACTTTTTCTAGGACCTATAACATAGAATTGTTTATTTTCTTATCAGAGTTCTCGCATTTGAATGATATGTTGTTTGAAAAATGAGACCTGTCAGAATAAGAACTCTGTCTCAAAGAGTTTTAGATGGATGAGAGATAGACAGTAAAACTATGATGAGTTTTTTCCTGGAGGTTTTCTAGAAAGCACTGGTAACATGTTAGAGTTTGCATTCAGATCTTTGGGCAGGAATAAGATTGAAGTCCTGGTGAAAGTAGAGGTCCTGCATATTTTCACTCCAGGGAGAAAGGACAGGGAGAAGGAGGTGAAAGTATTAAAGGGACACAGGTAGGAGTGACTCTCTGGTATCTGGAAATATTATTTAAAAGAAGATATTAATGGCACTCCTGGGTTTGCATTTTCAAATTACTTTGTTAAACGTTCCATTTAATGTGAGAACTGATTGGAGTAACCTCCCTGTGATATTCAAAATCCATGAGGTACCACGAAAAAAACAGAAACTTCTTTTCTGGAAAACTCTCTTTGGATCATTTTAGGGAGACTAGCAAAATAGTTTCATCTTTCACTTGGGAAATTTATGTCATAAAATCAATACGATAATGTATTTGAGGGACGAAAGGAAAAGTTCATAAATTCCAAACAAGAAATGCATAATGATTTTCTATGGTGACCTTATGCTGTTGTTTATTCCTTATGGTTCACACGGGCACCTTGTTATTTGCCGTTAGTTTCATTCCATAGATGGTTATTGAGATTCTATGTGACAGGCACTGTCCTAGGCCTGGGGGATTTGAAGAGTAGTGATATATGTTCTCTGGCTTCTCAAGGTCTGATAGAGACCTTCTCAAGGTACAGCTAAGTGTACTTGAGGTTGGTCAGGCACTCTGATGGAGACGTGTAAGCAAAATCCTGTGCCCACAGGAAGGTGTCGTTAATTCTGCCCAGAAATTGTTGCCTGGAGAACTGTCTGCTCATTAGGTGTCCACTTCCCAATTTTACTAAGAGTTATCAATGAGTGAGTTCTTCATGAGGTCCTCTTTGAAGAGTGTATTGACACATGGGTTATTCATGCCATAGCAATTGCTATTCTCAGGTCCAGGAGTAAGATCCTCAGGTAGAGTATAGGAAGCAAATCTTTTAAACCCAGCTACGACTTCCATATGTGTAAAATTTAATGTTCGTTGCTTTGTCGAGAAAACAATTTTAAGTTTTCAGATGAAACTCTTACATTGCTTGGAACACATTTGCTGCCTTGAATTGTTTTAGTCTCTCTGAATGCAATTCTCAGTGAGACACACACTTATATCTTAAACCCAAACAGTTGTCACAGATTTGTTTTCATTTTGTTTATCTTTCATATTAGTTCAGTACCATTTGAAGAAAGAATTTTAGCTGTTCTTAAGTGGCTGCAGCTTCCTAAAGATGAAAGGTATGTAGACGATTAATTTCTGTCATAAAATACTCCTTTGTTTTATGAAAACGTCAGAATATTTTAAATAGATGACAGGAAAACTTTGCTATTGGCTCTGATGTTTTATATCCAGATGAACTCTTTAGTGTCCTGTTACAGCCACATTTTGAAGAACTCTAAACACGTAAATTATTTCTCAGCAATTTTAGGAATGTTACCCCAGTGTTGTATTAACTTTTATTCACTATCAGTTGTTGAATTATTCTTTCTATTCTGTTTTACAATGTGTTCGTAAAATATTACATTTTGATACTGTTTGATTTAGACCACACTTTTACACTCTGTATTTAGAAGAACCAGATTCTTCAGGTCACTCTTATGGACCAGTCAGCAGTGAAGTAAGTACATTTTTATCAGTGATTACTTCATTAAACCTGGTAATATCCAACTGAACCTTGCTTTGAAGCAGGTTTCTAGACCATTCTATAAGAATCCATAATTTCTGGAAAGAGCGAGTATTAAGCACATTTTTATTAAACCAAAAGATGCACTTTAATCAAAAAGAGCTGGGAGCATTGTTTTGTTTTACGCTATCTACAGTGCTAAATTGAACCAGTGGTGAGTTTAAATTCTATATTTTCAATTTCAAATGAGACCTGTCACACTCCACCCTTTGTACTCTTTCCATCAAAACCTATCTCCAGTAACTTCAGTGTAGTTAACAACCCACATGCCCTTGCTTTGATTCTGTCCTTCAGCTAAGTAGAAATGCTCCTTCTTAGAGGTGGGAGATGTGTGGCGGTCAATGCGGCCATGTCATAATTAGACAAATGGAAGTTTCCTGTAGTTCTTATCTTGGTTCGAACAATTGGCCAGATGCTAGTATAATTTTTATTCTTTCACTATTAAGACCCGTGTCTAGGTCGGTTTGGCTACAAGTAAGTCTAAGGATCATTTTGTAATTGATTATCAGATCACATAAGTTTTAAGACCAGTGCTATTTTTTTCTATTCACTAAAGATTTCCCAAAGTACCTGCTTTTCTGTTTCATCTTCATTCAAGGTCGAGCCCATCGCTTTTCAAATCATATTCATCAATTTATAAACTCAGTTAAACGCTAGTATTCTTGGCTCATCGAAACCCACTTTATCTTCATACTTAAAAATTCCAATCCATGTTGCTTGGATATCTTTGAGTGAAAGAAAGACCATGTTGAAAGAGCTTGTTTCATAATACAGTGAAATACACAGACTATAGATAAAGGTTAGACTGTTTTGATACAGTACCGAAGACACAGGCAAAACTGCACAAGAGGGGCTTCCCTGGTGGCGCAGTGGTTGGGGGTCCGCCTGCCGATGCAGGGGCCGCGGGTTTGTGCCCCCGTCCGGGAGGATCCCACATGCCGCGAAGCGGCTGGGCCCGCGGGCCATGGCCGCAGAGCCTGCGCGTCCGGTGCTCCGCAGCGGGAGAGGCCACAGCAGTGAGAGGCCCGCGTACTGCAAAATCCAAAACAAAACAAAACAAACAAACAAAAAACTGCACAAGAATTTGCCTCCCGTGGTTTTGCCCGGAGAGAGGAGGAGAGAAGAGCCAGAGGTAATTTGCCAAAATCATACGCCATTCTGTGTCCTTGTGATATTCATAGGCAAAATAATAGTTTGTATCGAAACAATGGGTTGTATACCTAGAATTTTAATTTTAATTTAAAAAAATTAAGTACATAGAACTATAAGAAGCATTTCATGAATACTTTTAACTATGTGACATGAGATTGTTTCCCTTTCTTAGGTCATCAGAGCTTTGCAGAGGGTTGACAACATGGTTGGCATGCTGATGGATGGTCTAAAAGAGTTGAACTTGCATAGATGTTTGAACCTCATCCTTATCTCAGATCATGGTAACCTGAATTTGCATCATTTTTCCTTCAGGTTAAATGGTGCCCCAGAAGTTTACTTGATTGATTATTGTTTTATTATTTCCTCTGACTTTTGTAGTTAATTCTTTCTTTTAAATGTGATTTCTTGTAGAAAGCCTTTAGAAAATACTACATTAAATATAAATCACAAGTGAAACGTAGAATTCACAGAAACCTAAGAGCTTATTAACCACAATGCACTTATCTCCTGATTTGGGGGGGCTTACACCAGGAACTTGGAGAGTTAAAACAATTTTTTTAATATTAAGTTTTGGTAAATCTACTCTAAAAATTTTAGGTGTAATTTGAATAGATTATTATGTGCTGCTTCTGTTTTCTCTAGATGATAAAGCTGACTTTTAAAAGCAGTATGTATTAATTTTGGCAATATTTTAAGTTAACTTTTACTTACTGTGACCTTTAGAACATGTATGTGTATAGCCTTGGGACTGTAAAAGCAATGTATATACAAGAAAATAGGAAAGAGGTTCTTTTTGTTTGGTTTTTGTTGTTGTTATTATTGTTTGCTTCAGAAATAATTACTGAAAACTATTTCTAGAAACAGTCCTAAGAAGCTGTATCCTAAAAAAGCCCCCAGTCCTGGAATGAGGTTGAGAGTTTTATACTCAAGAGTTAATATGCTAGGTGATTCTGAGAAAGTAACTATGCTTTCATATTCAGCCTAAAACTGTGATATTCCTCATGACTCACATAAAGATACTGTAATATATAAATAAGAAGAAACACTAATTTTGGATGAAGGAAAGGGAAAAGATTTTTTTTTAAGTGACGTGGTAGATATACATGAAATTCTGTGTCTTACCTATTAGATGTTCACTTGTCATGAGAACTGACCTCATGTTTATTGATTTAAATTCTGGAAGGGAAAGAAATTCTGTCCTACATGTTAAATGTTTTTTATTAAAGTTGTAACATGTTTGGGGATTTTTTTTCTCCTAGGCATGGAACAAGGCAGTTGTAAGAAATATGTGTATCTGAGTAAATATCTGGGGGATATTAAAAATGTTAAAGTTATATATGGACCTGCAGCTCGATTGAGACCCTCTGATGTACCAGATAAATACTATTCATGTAAGTATATCTCTATGCTAATTTTGAATATGATTATATTCACAATACATTCCTCAGAATCATTATGTCTCTAAATTAAAGAGGATCAATTAATTTCCTTTTCATGATTAAATCTCCAGTGCTGATCTTCTGCACCCAAAGGGATTTTATGGAACTAGATGTGAGGGCACAAGTCTAACCGCTTATCTGTTATTCATGGCTAAGAATATTATTTGATGAACTTGGTACAATTTTATGTTATCGTTGTGTCTTTTGCTTGTGTTGGGTTCAAGATTACTTGTACTAGAAAAATAAAAACTTAAAAGTTCAGCTACATTTATTCAACTTTAATTAATGTCATTTCATTAAAATAATTTACAGCTGTTATAGGATAATATTCCATTATGAGGAGGAATGCTGGCAGAGATGATTAATTCTATAAGCACCTAATTTCTGTTCTCAGAAATGACTTTCTTAAACTATTCCAAAAAACAATGAGAATGTGTTTTTTGAATAGAGAAGAAGAAATTTCACATTCTCTCTTGACCCCATGTTGTACTCAAACTTAACTACCAAGAAAATTTAAATATTCATTCTTTTGAAAGTCAAGCCTATTTCAGAACTGATTGCACCTCTATTATACCCTTCTTCTTGATTACCATCCTTGGTAATTCGCAAATACTAAGGGCAGTTTTGTTTATCTTTTTGTTGCAATTACCTTTGAAATGGAAAGAGAAAAGAGCTTTTCTGGCAGTCATCAGCATTGGATTAGGTTTGGGTATATGCAGTGCTATATGTTTCCGTAGATACTGTTGAATATTCATGAGAAGAAGTAGATTTCCCTCCAGGAAAATAGTTATGCAAATATATTAACATAGTAACCCAAAGCACAGACACTAACTTGTACAATAACAAGTTTTAATTAGTGTTTAAAAAATTTATTAAAGTAGTACATGATTGTTATAAAACCTGTTATAAAACTATACAGGCAATGGCAGTTCCCAGAGATGTTTAGGTTAGAATGGCTAAGCTTAGCCACACCCTTATCTCAATTAGGCCCCTGAGTTTCCCAATTTAAAGTAAAAATTACATATCTCTGTATCTACATTCATACATTAAAATATATATACAGTACATATTCTTTTATCTGGATAATTTTCTCAAACTTATGTAAAGTATAGCTAAAAGAATCGTAGGGAGCTAGGCAGTTACTGTTTACAGCACAGAGTACACTAAGTAAGTACACTGTGGGCTTGCTGTGAAAATTCAGTTTCAGAACTCTTCTACCTGCCCTCACTTCTAAATTCCCCTATGTCCTTATTTGGAAATTCTGGAATTATCCTTGAATATCAAAGTATGTAGAAAGTAACAGTTTTCCACCCTAAATCCTCCTAATTCACAACTCAGTTCCTCTCTCAAGAGATAAATACTTAGATTTGGGATGTGTCTTCCCAGGTATTTGCTATGTATATGTAAAACACATTCATTTTTATTTTTACAAAGTGACATTATACAGGATCTAGATGGGTGGATGGAAGGATGGATAGATATTTGGATGCATGGACAGATAGATAGATGGATGGATGTATAGGCAGATGGACAGGCAGATGGATGAATGGACACACATATGAATGACAGATGGATAAACTGATGTTCTATAACTTGCCTTTTCACTTAACAATAGGACATAATTTCACAGGCATGGTCGTAGTGGAGGTTGGGTGGTTCCTAAAGATCTGTCTTATTCCTGTCAATGGCTAATATATAATAATTGAAATCAATGGTCCCCAACCTTTTAGGCACCAGGGACTGTTTCGTGGAAGACAGTTTTTCCACGGATGGGGCGGGGGGATAGTTCAGGCAGTAATGCGCGCAGTGGGGAGCGACAGGGGGCGGTGGGGAGCGGCAGATGAAGCTTTGTTCACTAGCCCGCTGCTCACCTCTTGCTGTGTGGCCCAGTTCCTAACAGGCCGCAGACCGGTACCGGTACGTGGCCTGGGGGTTGGGGACCCCTGATTTAAATGATCTGTTTGAAACCAGCTTTGGTATTTAAATATAGGGTTTGAGTCTGACATTATATATTTTTTGTATTATTTTTATTTCTAATGGTAGCATACCATTCAGCTATTAATTCTTATCTTTGCCCCCCTTCAGTTAATTATGAAGGCATTGCCAAAAATCTTACTGTGAGTATCTTTTTTCCCCCATTACTTTGTTATTACTAGTTTTGTATAAAATATATTTAGAAGAAAGTTTCAGTATTTGTTCTTGGGATTGTAGAATTTAATCTAATTTTTTGAGTATCTGGGCCAATATTTAAATGCTCTGTAGTTTTTAAAGATCCTTAAGGACATACCCCAATAATGTAGGTTTTTTAAATTTTAAGAATTTATTTATTGACATTGTTAAATTTATATGACAGTACAAGAAATAACTGAAAACAATAGAAGGAAAAACCCTATAGCTGTACTACCATAAACACTGTTAGCATTATGGTGTATTTTCTACCAGTCTTTCTTATGCCTATTTTTTAAAATAAGCTTTTGTCCTAGTGCTGATTTATCTATACTACATGTTTTTACTTGATAGAAAATTCTTACAATTTTAAAGAAAATTCTTAAAATTGTTATGAGTGTTTGAAAATATGATCATCAGTAGTAACACAAAGGTAAACTAGTGACTCAATCTAAGCATCCTGGGACTCTTATGTAATAATTATGATTTTTCTAGAAAATAAGAATATTCAATAGTTGGGAATATTCAACTTGTACTTTATATAGGTAGTAAGAACTCAGTTTATTTGCATCTGTGACTTATTGGGCATACTGATTAAATGTTTGTGAGAAAAAAATTCATATGGAGTTAGAAAGCAATTTCAAGGGAAGTTTACACTTAAGAAAATATGGAAATAATGTTTTTTCTTTGCCTTCTACAATTTCAGTGCCAGGAACCAAACCAGCACTTCAAACCTTACCTGAAACATTTCTTACCCAAGCGTTTGCACTTTGCCAAAAGTGACAGGATTGAGCCCTTGACATTCTATTTGGACCCTCAGTGGCAACTTGCATTGTAAGTTCTGACAATCTCCCATGTAAACTTAGCTTGATCTTATAGTAATTCGAGGTAACCATTGGGCCCTTTCCAATGATGTTGTTATATGAAAACTACAAATATGATTCTCTTCACTCTATCCCAGGGTCTCTCAACCTTGGCCTATTGACATTTTGGATCAGATAATTCTCTGTGGTTGGGGAGTCGTCCTGTCTGTTGTGGGATATTTGAAAACATCCCTGGCTTCTACTCACTAGATGAAAAAACACCTTTTCTATAGTTGTGACAACCAAAAATATCTGCAGACATTGCCTGAAGTCCCCTGGGGAGGGGAGTCACCTCCAGCTGAGAACCACTGCTCTGTCCCCTCACATCCGTCTTGATTATTTCTTATGCTCCACATTTGTGTAACCACTTGCCATTGTATCTCTTCTGCATGTTACAGTTATGCCTAATAATACCTTCGGAGTCTAACAAATAATTGGCAAAACTCTTTATAATAATGAGCCATTACCTTCTTCATTAGACAAAGCTGTTTTTTCATTCTTGTTATACTAGTCCATTAATAAACCTCAGTTTATTGGTGTGTTCAGCAAATTATTTGGGTGGTTCATATTGTTAATATCTCAAAACTTGATCATTAACTCTGTATGGTTGCCAGGAAGCCAGGGATGATAAATACCCCTGTCCAGCAAAAGCTAAGCAGGGAACCAGAATTCAGTCAACAGAATTGCACTGTCTCTGCTTTATTAGAGAGCTGTGCTTTCAGTGTTTAGAATAAGAATATGAAAGAAGAGGAGGTCCTTACCTTCATGGGAGAACTAATATTAGTGAGCATCTACTGTGTTCTAAGCACTTCTTTAGTACAGATCATTTAATTTTTATAAACCCAGCATGACAAATTGAAACCACGAGAAGATAATTAAATCGCCAAAGTCACAGCTGAGTAAAGAAAATATTAAATATTAAAGAATATTTACTCTTTATAATGGAAATAATGTCATGATTGTCAGTTTTGCTTTATGAATGGACTTTACATTGTTAATTTATATTATGTGAAAATTAGGAATCCTTCAGAAAGGAAATATTGTGGAGGTGGATTTCACGGCTCTGACAATGCATTTTCAAATATGCAAGTGAGTAAACCTATTATACAGTAAAAATTATAGTTTATATCTGAAGAAAAAAACTGATATATAAAGTTTTAGACTTAAAATCATAGACTGTCATTATATGTCTTGAATGAGAATTAATGAAGCTTATAATTTCATGTAGCTGTTTTACTTTGGACATTAAATAAATTAATAGAATTTTGTTAAATATTTATATCCATGTTTTATGAATGTGACTTTTACCTCATACTAAATTTCTAGTAATTATTTTGTATGTATTTGTGCTTCATTAAGAATGTTGCTCCACAGTAAATGAAAGCCAGTAATTTAATAGGTGAAAAGATATCATAGTTATGTTTTAAATAAAGATAATGCCGGGAATTCACTGGTGGTCCAGTGGTTAGGACTCCGTGCTCTCACTGTTGAGGGCCTGGGTTCAATCTCTGGTCAGGGAAGTAAAATCCCACAAGCTACGCAGCGCGGCCGCCCCCAAAATAATAATGCCTTCCATTTACCTAGCACTTTAAAAATTTCAAAATATACTCATGATAATTTTCTGATTTGATCCCTACGGCACTGTGTGTGGTGGGAAGAATGAGATTTAGATCCCATTTCGTAGTTGAAAAAAGATTTCATCATCATTCTGTTCTGATTGTCACGTTAGGAATTATAATGCAGTTAAGAAAAATAACCTAGATGTCCTTGGATTAAAAGTGCAACAGGGGTTAAAATAATATCCTAGAAAGTCCACTGGGCGCAGTATTTTTCCACTTACCTTAATATAACCAGTTCATATATGTACAATGGGGAAGATATAAAATACCTTTTTGGTGACCAACTCCATACATAACTGAAATGAGTAGATAAACTGTTTCTTTTCTGGCCAACATAGGCCCTCTTTATTGGCTACGGACCTGGATTCAAGCATGGCATTGAAGTTGACTCCTTTGAAAATATTGAAGTCTATAACTTAATGTGTGGTAAGTGTGAACAGGCATCTTTTCTCCCTTCTGAACACAGAGCTGGAATAGGATTATCAAAAGTAGGTCACATGTTGGGCACCTTTCTGGAAGTGATGATACGGCAAGACAGACCTTTATATTTCCACCTTTCTTCTTCCTGACCTAGAGTCATTGAAAAAATGTGCAGAACATAATCGTCTGATGACTGACCTGTTCCTTCCACTAGACTGCACAGTGGTAAAGTACAACACTCAGAGTAGGGAGGTCTGTACATCCCAAGCACCCAGTACTTTGCCAGGCCCTGGACTTCATTAAATGACAGTTGAACCAGATCAGGGTGGAAGCCAGAGAAAAGAGTTTGGGGTTGTGAAAGGTAGACAAAACAGTTGGATCCTCTAGTAGTAATAATAGTTGAATGGATGGCAATGTCAAGGTTATAGAAATGGAGGAGGACATATTGAATATGTTCTTAGTTTACTCTGGACCTTCCAAATTAGTACTTTTATGGTTGAGTATTGCATTTTAAATATTACTTCCTTTTTCTGATAACAATACTGGGCATTTGTAAAACCTTAAATATGTTCTAAGTATAATTATTTTAGTGAGAGCCTGTATACTTAAATGAGTTAGTATATCCTAAAGCACTTAAACAGTGCCTGGCATATAATAAGCACTTTAGTGTATAAGTGTTTGCCATCATTATTATCAAGAGCATGAGTCTTAGACTTGGACAGAGCTGGTTTTGAATCCTAGGTCTACTACATTAGTAGCTTGAAATCTTGAGCTAAGCACTCTGGTTACAGGCATACCTTAGAGAAATAGCGGGTTCAGTTCTAGACCACCGCAATAAAGTGAATACTGTAATAAAGCAAGTCACATGATATTTTTGGATTCCCAGTGCATATAAAAGTTACATTTATATTATACTGTAGTCTATCAAGTGTGCAATAGCTTCTGTCTAAAGAAGCCATGTACATACCTTAATTAAAAAGTCCTTTGTTATTAAAACATGCTAACCATCATCTGACAATGTGGGGTTGCTACAAACCAATCTGTAAAAAATGCAGTGTCTCTGAAGTGCAGTAAAATGAAGAACAGTGAAACGAGGTCTGCCTGTACTCATCTACCAAATGTTGACAATAACTTATTAAATTGTTTTGAGGATTAAGTAAGAAAAATATATTAGCATACTGATCGGCATATAATAAGCATTCAACAGGAGATAACTATATTTATTGTATACATTAAAATTTAGAAATTTTTATAGAGAATTACAGCATGCATATCAGTATTTCCGTTGAGAACAGCGTGGTCATAAATACTCTGCAACCTAAGAGAGAGAGACTTACAGTTTTATTTTAGATAAAGAGTTAAGGACTCTTCAATAGATTTGGCTTTAAAAGATAAAATTCATAGTGCAAGTCTACTGTTTACTTCGTTTTGAAATTTCTAAGTAAATCTTTATTTACCATTCTTGAAATTATGCAGATTTACTGAATTTGACACCAGCTCCTAATAATGGAACTCATGGAAGCCTCAATCACCTTCTAAAGAATCCTGTTTATACCCCAAAGCATCCCAAAGAATTCCGCTCCTTGGTACAGTGCCCCTTCACAAGAGCCCCCAGGGAGAGCCTTGATTGCTCGTGTGATCCCTCGGTAAGTAGTCCCAAGAAGTTTAGCCCAGTGGGTATGATTTTTTAACACCCTCTGCATAGCATATGTTGTAGAAATACATAATGATTAAATTAAAATTTATGAGTGGGAGTAAACATATATTTATTTTCAATTCCAGTGACACATGCCGACCCTCTTATTATTTATTTTTCCCGCTCCGGGTTTTTGCACTCTCGCTCTATTTTTATCCCCATGTCGAGACTCGATTTGGCTGCAGGCTGGGAGAGGTCTAGCTGAGTCCTGAAATGTACTGAATCCCAGAATCCGTGCTGATATCCTAGCAGTGAGGTCTTTTATGAACCAATCACAACATTCCTTTTCTAAAATACATCCCAACCTATTTTAAATTTAGAGGGAAAATATCATTTTTGGGCATGAAATGGATTTATGACACTTTTCCTTTTTTACTCCTATCATAATATACAGTTGTTGTAAGGAGATGAAAATATATGACAAGTTATGGACAAAATTGATAGTGTCCATAAAAATAGACATTTGAGTAGTTCATCTTATGCTTTCCATTTTGTTTTAGGTTTAATTTAGACTTGTAAAAAGACTGTTAGAGTAGAGATAAGAATTATAAAGCAGCAGTTACATTCTTGTTTTCGATGACTTGTGTTATGCTATGCTAACAATTTTGTCTTTTTGCAACTGTTATCCCTGTTCTTTTATCTCTTCTTCAAAAAAAATTACTTTCACTTGCACAAAATGATTTTAAATTTATCTTTGTTCTATGGTGGAATACTTAAGCTGTAAAATTCATTTATTACAAAATGAAAGCATGTTTCTCAGTCCTTAAAAATTGTATCATTAATTTTTTAGATTTTGCCAATTGTGGATTTTCAGACACAGTTGAATCTGACAATGGCAGAAGGTAAGGCATGCTTAGTCTTGAGACTGGGATGTGGAAGCAAGCTTTGTCTCAACAATGTGAACCACAGAATTAGTTTTGGGTCATTGTTTGGGAATAACCAACAAAATAAGGTAGTAATGGAGGACCACCTGATGAACCGGAGAGATTTCTTAGCTTGATAGTCTAGACTATTAGTCATAAGGAAAGAAGGCGTGTTTACAGTGGAAACAGCATGTAATATAATTAGTGGAAGCTGAATCCCTCTTTATGAACTTAGTGGAGTGTTTTGAGATCTTGAAGATATTTATAGGTTTATACAATATTATAATAATAGGTCCTCAGATTTCCATTTAAAATACCCAGTAGCTTTCTATCTTACCTAATTCTTAATTATAAGGGAGTATAAATTAAATTGATTTACTTATCTAAAGTTATTTCTTCATAACTTTTGAATGAAAATTAAGAATATGCAGGCAGCTGATGAAATGTGGATATTTAGTATCACTTTGACACAGTCTCTGATCCTTAAGTTACTTGGCTCACAGCTTTTTCTTGCTGGAATAAAAAGGTGAATTATGCATTCATATATGCAGAATGAATGAAGTTCTGCATTCATTCAATATGAATGAAGTTCTATTCATATAGAACTTCTCTATATGAAATCTCTGCAAATGTTCAGATTAGAGAAATCTCTGATGGCCCCATGGTGGCAAAGTTTTGTGGTGAAAAGTGACACCTTGGAACTGAGTAGATATGGGTTTGAATATGAGCTTAGGAACCGTATGTCCATTGAAAAAGCATTTACTCCCTATAAATTGCTGTTTTCTCATCTATAAAATGGGCATATAACCTTAATTCTTAGGGCTCTATAAGAATAAAATTCAATGATGTATACAAAGAACTCTAAAAAAGCATCTGATGCTTGGAAAAGGGGGCAGTAAACGGCATACATACTATTGTTGTTTCATTCAGTGTAGTCTCATAATTTCAGTTTTGAACTTTTGCTTTCCAGGTACACACATCATCCAGAAAATTTTCCTTCTGTAGTATATCCTGGAAAATAAGTAATAATGACAATGTTAAAGTATTTTAGTAATATAATTTAAGTCCTAATTGCTGAAATTCCTAGCAATTTCATGTAGTATCTTGTGATATCTTAGTATTACATTGATCTTTCAGAATCTTCATAGGCAAAAACTGCAGTGAACTCCTTTCTTTGTAAATTGTTTATAGTTCTGCTCTTTGTAATTAGTTTAATTTTATAGTTACAAATAACTTTTCAATAGGGTTAAGTAGAGGAAAGAATTAGATCAGTATATCATTATGTATTATCATATCATGCACACTAAGTATATTTGAATGGTGGTTTCATTTTCCCCTGTGACCCAAGAGAAGGCCATTAAGCGTGGCACTGTACCTTATGGAAGACCCAGAGTTCTCTGGAAGAACAGCACTGTCTGTCTGCTTTACCAGCACCAGTTTGTGAGTGATTACAGCCATGACATCCTGATGCCCCTTTGGACAGCCTACACCATCGACAGAAATGCAAGTATTTGTCACCTCTTTATCTCTGTGTGGTTATTTTATATTATCATTAAGTAAAACATTGAAAGCATAGTTTCTCACTGTCAATCTTGGCTCTGTAATCAGTTCCCAGATTAGAAGATCACTGAACTGAGAGTCAGAAAAATTAGATTCTGGTTCTAGCTCTGCTGCTAACTAGCTACGTGACTTTGACACTCAGAGCAAACTTCTCCTGTGAAATGAGGGTGTGCAGTGAAGATTTCTCCCTTGCTTTTGTTTTTTCTCAGTTTTAATATTTGATGATTCTAATTTCTAATTTAATGAACTCAGTTTTACAATCAGTTTATCTCAAAATACATAGGGGTGTAAGTACAAGGATTTCCCTTGGCTGCCCAAATCGTAGGGGGTCCTCAGTGATGGAGAAGGCCATTAAAGCTCAGTTACCTCACTGTGTATACCACCTATAGGAAGACACCCAGACCAAACCAGGGAAAGGTCAGGGATCCTGCCTACCACCCAGACTAGAAGAGTTTGGCCTTGAAAGAAGTAGGGGAAAATATCCCAGAATAAGACCACCATCCCCCTCACTCTCATCCCTTGGGTGCAGTGGTAGAAAGATAAATGATGAAGGAAATCGGCCTTGAGAAAGAGAATGGGGGGAGGAGATGAGATTTAGATCTTATCCGGAAGTGGAGTTTTAAACTAGGCTGACCAGATTTTCAAAAATGAAAATGTCTGGCAAGCTATAGGATGCCCTGAAGGGATGGAAAGGGGATTTGAGAGAGCTTAGCTGACTGTAGCAGTTAGATTTTAAAAACAGAGCTTTTGTTACTACTCACTAAGACTGCTAAATAAAAAGATAGGGAGACGTGTATATATATGTAATTTCTGTATATTGAATACACACAGACATTTCACGTATTAACATGTTTTTACCTTAATTTGATTTTTAATTTTTAAAGAGCATCTTCAAACACTTTAAACACATTTTACTTGACTTTGTAGTATATAGCAGTTTACCCAGTGTTTTGTAGGTCCCCATCCTATTTACTGTTGTTTAATACCTTAATTATGGTGTTCTTGGACTCTGAATTTTCAGTTTTCTTATATAATGAAAGCTGCAAAAATTCAGTCATCACTACTCCTGAGATTTTCATATCGAATTGCTGTTCAGTGGCTTCTCTCCACCCCCTAAGCCCCACTACTTTTGTTGTTGTGGCTGTATTGGATATGAAAGAGTCTGATCTCTAAAAATCAGCAATTCACTACACAAAAGTTTGAAACTGAGTAGACAAAAACATTATAAACAAAATTAGCACAACATAGTAGGAAAATATTTGCACATATATGATTAATACCCTAATATTGTAAAGAGTTCTTACACTTCGGTTAGAAGCAAGATGAATACTCTCGCAGAAAAATGGAAAATGGTGAAGGACATGAACCGACAGCCCGAACTCCATGATTTTATGTTGTGGTTCACCTTTAACTATGTATAAAACTCTCTCTTTTTCTTCCGTGCGCCTGATCCCTGATGGTCCTTTTCATTTTGTTCTTCAGGATAGTTTCTCTACAGAAGACTTTTCCAATTGTCTTTACCAGGATGTCCGAATTCCTCTTAGACCTGTCCATAAATGTTCGTTTTATAAAAACAACACTAAACTGAGTTATGGGTTCCTTTCTCCACCACGTAAGTCTCTTCCTCTTTGACCTTCCCTTTCCCTTATCTTCTTTCTCTCTTGCATTTCCTTTTCTTTCTTATGGGGCAGTGTACGTCTTGTTGATTTATTGGTGAAAACTGTGAATGGGAAATAGAACTATTAGGGAAAATTGTCAAGTGTCTAAAAACTTGAGCTTTGGAAACCTTTTTACTTTTGTTTGGAGGGTGATGGATTTAGTGCAGGCACTGTAGGTAGAACATCCTTCACTTTTCTGCATTTCTTTTCAACAGAATTTGGGAAAACTCAGGTCAGAAGGATGCATCAGGGTTCTTAGGAAGGAGGTATCATTTTGTTGTTTGAAAAGAAAAATGTGGCTTGTCAAAGAATTAGGTAAAGGGAGAGCCTAAGTGTGCTTGTTCTTTCACCGATACAAAGCCCCCAGGGAATGGCTTTTTTTGAAGTTAAGTGTTCTGTGTTTTCAAGTGGCAGACTTGTATGTTAATGAGAAGACAATTTGAATCTGTCCTAAAAAGGCAAAACTCAGAAGCCTCCAGGTGCTCAAAAACACTCAATATCCAATTGAGTCCCCAGAGCAAGCTTCTGAAGTCAGAGCTTGGCTATTGCATTATAAAAAGACAGGTCTAAGCCAGAAGTCCATACAAAGAAGCCTTGTACAGCAGTTTGAGGCAGACATCCTGTGCTGTTTTTTCTAGTTAGTAGGTGTTGTTCTGAAGCCAGATATTCTCTTTTTTTCTTTTCACTCTGAGAGAGTTTAAGGAAAGAAGATTGTTAACACAATATACTTTAGTTGAAATAAGGCAAATGAGGTAAAATTTGAATATGTTTAATTTGGGACCTTCATATTAAAGATTCTGTTTCATTGATAAATTCATCTCGAAGAAGAAAAGATCCAAATATTTTGTTTTTTTTAAGGGACTTGACCAAACACATTGCATTTCCCCTTGACCCAGTACCTGGGAAAGTTTTACAAGTTTAAGATGATACTCAGCTGATGTTTATAAATGCCTCCCATGAGAAAGTATAATTCCTAGTGTTATTTGTGAAGAATGAAATAGTTGACCTTGTTATTTTCTTTGTAGAATTAAATAAAGGTTCAAGTCAAGTATATTCTGAAGCATTGCTTACTACTAATATAGTGCCCATGTACCAGAGTTTTCAAGGTAAAAAATTTTAATCTTATATCTCATAATTTCAATGAATTTCCCTAAATTATACGTATGATTTATATGTAATAAGACTGATGCTCTAAATTAAATGACTAAACATCAGATACGTTCTTATAGGTTTGTTTAACTTTGAGAATACCAGTACATAAAAAATTCTACAAGTATTAGAATTATGATATATTCCTATAGTTATTATTATGCTTTGTACTTAAGTGTTTACAAGCATTTCTGGTGGAAAAAGTATGTAATGTTCTTCCTAAGTTATGTAGCTAATACGGTCTACTAACATAGAGTAAATTTCAGTCTATTGTACTATTTAACTATCTGGAAGTCCTTGATAATTGTTTTTTATTTTAAAATGAATAGATTTTACATCATTATTAATTATTGCAATACTCGACTCTTATAAGAATACACATTTATACTCTGTGACATATAGAATTTCAAAATATAGAGCATACAAGGAAATTATTACTCTAATTTACATCTAGAATGCTTTTGAATATTTCAAAAAAATTCAGATATTAACAATAAATTTGAATAACCTGCCTTGTTTGTGTTCATGATTTTTTTTTTATGCTTAATGATGATGTGTGTTCACAGCTTCATGATAATGCACATGTTTAAGGATGCCTGAAATAGAGTTGAATTCAGCATTTGCTGGTTAGTCCTTCCAAGGGCCACAGCTGAACAGTGTAGTTTGGGCCAAACTTGACTTTATCCCTAATTATGACAAATGCTAATTTTGAATCATGGTGTTGATTTATTTCACATGACAACATGGCACCTTGTTCTTTTGAAACTACGCTGTCTTCCTTCTTGTTTCAGTTATATGGCACTACTTTCATGGCACCCTACTGCAAAGGTATGCTGAAGAAAGAAATGGTCTCAATGTTGTCAGTGGTCCCGTCTTTGATTTTGATTATGACGGACATTATGATTCCTTGGAGACTCTGAAACAGTAAGAACGTATTTCATTTACTCTTAAAAACAGCTCTCAAGTGAGATTACCATCCAGCTGAGTCAGCAGAACCTTTTCTATCTTATACTGTTCATATTTATGTACATGACATTTCTGATTACGCTGGAAGCCCCTTGAAATATCTGATTAATTTTGATGTTTTGCTCTGTGCTAAATATTTTTTAGATGAAAGTAGTGTTTATTGCCCACTCAGCTCAGATGAATAATCCTGTAGTTCATATTAAATACTGAACTCTGCCTTTGTTAAGATAACATCAGTGTTGAAAATCTCTCTGTGTGGCTGTTGTTAAGATACTGTCTTAACTTGCATACTGCCAATTACAAGATGAAGAATGATATAGTGTGGCTGGAGGCACCCTGAGTCAAGGAAGCAGAAGGCTTATAAAGCGGTAGTGCCCCAGGGTTGCCCCTGGTCTAATGTCACAGCTTTTACCCAACTCTGCTGGGAGGGGAATGGTACAGTGACCTTCTTGAGAAACCATCAGTGGTGCTGTTTTTATAAAGGAGAAGGGAAGAACATTTTAGAGACTAGTTAATCTTTATTAAAACAATAATTACAAGATTTTGGGGAGCAATTTTGCTCTTCAGACTGTAAGAAAAAGAGAGTGAAACATCCACTGAGATTCAGCCCCTTTCTGAGAACCACTCTCTCAGGCAGATTTAGGGATTACTGTTTACACACATACACCTGTGACCACTTTAGTTTGTAAAATTTCATTTTTCTTTTTTTTGTTTTTACTATATCCCTTGAGGCCTAAGGGTGCCATGTAAATGCCTCAGAGATGACAGCAGTAGAACGGGTAAAGAAGAGAACTTATACCTTTCCCATTCACAGCTTCAACCAGAGCGCTGTTTCCATCTCTTTTATGTATCATGGTTCCACATACGATTATGTTTAAAAACAATGATACCACTACCTTAAATTTTGAAAGATGCTAAAATACCACCCAAACAAATCTAGGTTTTTTTTTTTTTTTTAAATTTCAAACAAATCTAGTTTTGAGACCAAAGGAAATGGCAGAATTAAGATGAGGTAAAAGTGTCACTTGGGGGGGCTTCCCTGGTGGCGCAGTGGTTGGGAGTCTGCCTGCCGATGCGGGGGAGCGCGGGTTCGTGCCCCGGTCCGGGAGGATCCCACGTGCCGTGGAGCGGCTGGGCCCGTGGGCCGTGGCCGCTGGGCCTGTGCATCCGGAGCCTGTGCTCCGCAGCGGGAGAGGCCACGGCAGTGAGAGGCCTGCGTACCGCAAA